ACCAGGCTAGACTAACTCCAAGAGATGTATTGATAAGATTTTCTAACTTTTATAAGAAAGATGGGCTGATGAGAAAGTTGAGAGAAAATGTGGGTCACTAAATTTTAAGGAGACACCCATTCAAGGTTTACTATATAAGATTTATAGTAAGGCTTACTATATAAGATTAAAAGCTAAGTATTAGTCTATAAGAAGAAGAATTTATAAATAGGGTAGAGTACTAATTTTGAATAAGCTAAATGTGATATTAGATTAATTTTCAATATGCAAAGTATAAATGGAAAAGACAGTATTGAGAATTCAGAGAGTTAAATAATTGAAAATATTTAAAATCATGCGTTAAGATAATAGGGGTATAGAGGTAATGGGAAGTAGATATTCGGAGTTGGGAAACCTGTGATTTCTCCCTGCCACCCTTATCTGCAAAGGTGGAGATACTGCCCAGAATGATGGTATTCTGGGGGGGAAGGGAGGGAGGTAGTTTTTTCTGTAAGGGTGGGTTTCTGGGTGTGGGGTTAAGGTAGATCTCTCTCTCTCTCTCTCTCTCTCTCTCTCTCTAGTTTTTTGTTTAAGTATATTTGTGGGTGTGCACAAAGGATCAACAAGGATATGTGGTTTAAATTTGAAATGGTTAAAATTGTAAGAGTATCATCTTTGAATGTTAAAGGCATGAGGAATGTAATTAAAAGGAAAAAAAGAAGCTATAATAAATAAAGCAGATATTGTATTTTTGCAAGAGAAACATCAAAGAAAAGAGGGGATTAATGAGTTAAAGGTATCATGGTCGAATATTTATGAGAAAGTATATGGGAGTTCTAAGTCAAGGCTATTGTTTTATCTAAAAAAACAATTTTCAATCAAATTAAAAAGATGAAAAAGGTAGATTTTTTTTTAATACAGGGAGAGTTGTGAGGAGAGAACTATAAATAATGTTTATTCATTAAATGAAAATGAGATGGCTTTCCTCAAAAAGTGTTTAAAGAGTTAAATTTAATTAGATGAATAATGAATACATTTGTTGGAATGCAACTGAGAAGTGGGTACATATTTCCATATGTGGTGGAAGTGTAATTATATTTAAGAGTTTTGGGAAATGGTTTTCAAAAAACTTAGTAAAATATTGAATTTAAACATTGAAGCTGACCCTGGACTAGCATTACTGTGATTATTTAGAGAACAGATGGGACAAAATACTAAAATAATTTATGATAAATTTATTAACAGTATTAAGATTAATAATAGCAAATAATTGGAAAATAAAGGTTGAATATCAAATAGTTGACTGGTATGAAAAAGTCTGGAATATAGCTATTAATGATGAGTTAACTTGTGATAGAAAATTGAAAAAAGGTTTGAGAAGTAAAAATAATTTTGAAATTATTTGGCTACTGTTTATTGAATATGTTTTAATAAAAGGAAATTAGTGGGAACCACCACAAGCATCAATGCAGTCCTGAAAGGAAAGTGGGACAACCTGAATGAATAAATGATCTTACATTAAGCAATTTGATTTGTTGGTCCTGGTGGAGGTAGCACTGGTATTGTTGTATTGTTTAATTATGTTTATTAGTAATGTTTAATCATGTTTATTGTTATATTGCTTTTGTTAGTTTAATAAAAATATATTGTTTTAAAAGAATCAGTGAGTGCTTCACAATGGCACCTTCTCAGACTGGAGAGAGGTAATGAGTGGGGTACCTCAGGGCTCAGTCCTGCACCCAGTACTCTTCAACATTAATGACTTGCATGAAGAAGTGCACAGAATGCCGATTACATTTGTAGATGATAGAAAAGTGGGTGGATTAGCTAATACCCTGGAAGATAGCAACAAAATTCAAAGTAATCTTGATAGTCTGAAAGCAACGGAATGAAATACAATTGGGACAAATGTCAAGTTCTACACCTAGGAAATATAGAAGTCACACTGTTGCAAGATGGGAGATATTTGGCTCAACAATACAATAAGTGAGAAATAACTTGGAATTGTCATAGATCGCAGGTTGAATGTGCATCAACAATGTGATGTAGCTGCAAAAAAAGAAAAAAAGCTAATGTGATATTGAGCTGCATTAACAGAAATATAGTTTCCAAATCACATGAGGTACTGGTTCCCCCTTATTCAGCACTGGTTATGTCCCATCTTGAGTAGTGTGTCATGTTCTGGGCACCATACTTCAAGAAAGATGCATACAAACTGGAAATATTTCAGAGGTGGGCACCAAAGATGATCAGGGGACTGGAAACAAAGCCTTGTGAGGAGAGATGGAAAGATGACTGCAGGGAGATATGATAATACTTTTCAAAATTTGAAAGGTTGCCGTGCTGAGGAAGGCCAGAATCCCCTCGCAGGCATCCCAGGGTGCAGGAATAATGGGGTTAAATTACAGGAAGTCACTTTGTTGAAACAAAACAAAAGCTAACAATAGCATTGAAATTAGATCAACTACATTCTCCAGCCACACTTAACTGGCTTTGGCACACTTTAAAGGCAATAGTCCTTATTCCAGAAGAAGGTCTTGAACAACAACTTCCAAGAGAGCCAAATCAGTCACTGAATTCCAGAGAAACCATGTTCTGGTACCTGTTCCAGGGATTCTGGAAAATGGCTCTAAATGCCATCTTCCAAGTGAGCCAAGTTACTAGACATGAATAAGTGGATGGGAGTGATGCAATAGGCCATATAAAAACTAGCACTCATTATTAAAATTAGAAAGGCACCTTTAATGGCTATTGTAATAATATAATAGAGTCAAATCAGTCTCAAGATTACCAAAGTATGCCTCCAAGTAACATTGGATATCATCAAATTAATTCATTCACTGTTACACCAGCCTGTTAAAGCCAATGATAAAAAAATGCCAGTTTAAGACTCTCTCACATTGGCTCCATTTCCATAAAGCTAGGAAACTGGAAGCTTACATAATCAGCAATGACGTTGTACAATGTCCCAATTTGTGCTTGCATACAACTTACCATCCATTCACTCACACTTTCTGGGGAGTCTTTCAGGTCCAAATCCAGGTGGGAGGGTGGTGTATCAGGGGTCAGCAAAGATGCCCCATGTTTTCCTGGTCCTCTATTGTCTCAGGAAGCATTACTGTAGGGCTGACATAGTGCTCTTGTGACTCCAATGTGTTGCTTGTATCAGGAGTTGGCTTAAAAAGTGAGAGCCTAGATGTTTCATAAGGCAGAATAGGACCAGGACAATATGGGGCTTCCTTGTTCATCAAAGTATGTGACCAAGGAAATGACAGGGAATGAAATGAATCTACATAAAACATGAATGTACCTTTTAAGTATAATATGAGGCTATAGAGTGATCTTCGCTAGTCCAGAAGGCAAGAGCATGGTTCTGGGACTTAGTATGGCACCTTTTAGAAAGGTGGTGCAAGGCCCTGATCCTTTCATTCCACGAATCTGTGTAGTTTGTCCTCAACTTTCCCATATAATTCATAGGTCAGACTTCATGTTACTTTAAGACTTAACTACCCACCTCCTTTTTACTCAAAAGTAAGTGCCTGGAAGGTCGTATAGATTAGGAATTGAGGGGTACAAAGCATGCTTTAAGACTTCTCCATAGCCCTGCAATTTACTTTGCCTTTTGGCAATGTAAATTGGAGGCATGGGTAGGTATGCATGCATTTTGTTAATTCTGTTATCTTGGAAATTGTTAGAATACTTTTGTTTCTCTGTGTGTCATTGATGGATTCAGATTTTTGTATGAGAATTTTCACATGATTGCACTTGCACAAGTGTGCTCTTGTGCTAATATATGCCAGCACAAATGTGTACACATCTAATTGGGCATTTATGCAAATTTCCCTACCTAAAGTCTGCAGTCTGATTATTGGAACATTGGTTTAGGGAAGTTTTGGGGCTCATTGCAGCATTCCTGTGCAGCTATAGGTGTCTCATAAATTTAGCTCATTTGGAAGTTGCTGTTCCAGGCTATTTTCCTTCTTCTCCGTATCAGTTTTCAGCATAATGGTGTTACTACTGAAGGATTTTAGAACAAACAGGCTCTAAAGTGTCCGTACCGCCTGTCATTGTTTTTGGCATGGCCATTTCATCCTGTGGGTTCCATCCCAGCATTTACATTGCCCCCTTAAGAACTGTTCCGTATGCGAACTCTGAAAGGAGAAACAAACACCATGAAACGTTTCTCTTGCATTTTATATCTATGGTTGGGGTCAGACATAGACTTAGAAAAGAAGAATACGTCTTGTGTAGTTCTTATATCGTGTTGCACTTTCTATTTTGGCTGCTGGTACGTCAATTGGCCCGGGAGAGTGTGAGGGCAGACTTTCTCCCGCAACTCAAACGTTTTGAGGGGCTGGGCTGGGCGGGATTTCTGCCTCAAGTATTTTAAAGCACGGTGTGAAACAAAAAGGTTCCTTGAGAGTTGCTCCAACCATTTGGTCACTCTTCCACTCCTCTTGTGGGAAGGCTACTCAGGAAGGACAAACGTAGCTTTGAAAGGGAATAATTGATATGCTTTTTAACCCGGTAATGCAGCCAGCGCGAAGCCACCCACCCTTTCTGCACTCTCTCTTTGAGATACTGGCTGCTTCTGGGCTACCCTGAACGGTTCTCGTACTTTCTTTTTCTCCCACCTCTCATCCAGTAGTATACACTGGATTATTGGGAAGTGTTGTTTTGCCCCATGCACTCAGCCACAGCTTTTCCTCCTTGTCACTTTCCAGTCTGCAACATGGAGACAATACCAATGGATAGTACAAAGTTAAACGCGTAGAATCGTATTTTTCATGTGAAAAAGAGGGATGTCAGAAACTATAAATTACTAGCTTTACTGTTTTTGTAGGGTTGGCTCATACTGTTACATTATAAATCTAGTTTTCTCGAGTGTTTCCTATTGAGTCACTCACTTCCGACGAAGTGGAATTGTGCGAAGGGAAACCAGGAAATGCCGTCCTCCAATGTCGCTCATACTACTGCGAGAAGTATCTCTATGGATCAAGTTACCGCTCGTGACGTCACAGGTGAGTTCTTGTACGCATGTGCAGATGAGAAAAAAAGCGAGTGAGCAGTGAATGGCGGACCGGCAGTGCCTCGGCGGGGGAGCTGGGAAGAGTGGCTGCTCATGGCTTCAGGAGCTTTAGCTGGTTGGTAGTACCAGTTTTGGAGCTCTTGCTCCCATGATTACACTTGTGTCGTTTTTGCCCTTCGGTGGTAAAGTACATGTTCTAAGTCAGTGTGGAAAATGCTGGGCAATCTGTACAATGAAGGCATAACCCCTTAGACAATATGTATTTGTCAGTATATTTGGAATTTGATTCACGACTTTAAACATCAGTGTATCCGTTTATGATAATTCAGCAGAACGATAGTTTGCACGATATGACTGCTTGAGTGTCAATTATTTGAGAAGTAATATTCTCCCCAAAATGGCTAGTCACCACATATAGAAGAAATCTTCCTTGCTTATTCCAGACTTGTAACAGATACTGTTCACATTAGGATGTATTCTTGCTAATTTGTGTTATGTCATATATCAACAGTATTTTTACAGTTACCTTCTTTCATTTTATCAACTGTATGTGCCCTTACTTTTAAAATAAATCAGCACAGCTGCTCAACAGAACATTAACCATAAATCAGCTTAATTGTTTTTGCTTGGCAGGCCCTTTCATTCAGTTGTCTGCATTCAATCTATGTTCCATGTAACCTATGGTATTCTCTAATTTGGGGTGAGGGGTTAGGGATGGGGATAAGGGTAATGGACATTTTTCCCTGAAGAAGCAGCAGGGGCTGAGCTCTTGCTTCCAGCACAAAACTTCCCTGACTTGTGCCTTGACTTTGTGTTTGCATTTACATATATCCCATTCATGGAGGAATGGTGTTTGATAGTACTTTGAGACTTACTGTTTAGAAGTTTTTTATTTTATTTTATTTTTTACAAAATGATAGATGTTTTTGTAGGCAACAGTCTACTTGATCAGATGCTGCATTAGAATATTGACGCATTGTTTGAAAAATAGGGAAAGGGTTATGTAGAGCACTCTGAGAACCACTGGAAATTCACATTACTGCGCTGTAACTTGTATTGTGTATTTTATTTTTCCTCTATTCATAGGTGCCTGTGTAGCCCTGCATAAAGTTAATATAAATACCTACATAAATGAGCTGGACAGGGAGAACCTGTGGCAAATTATTATTTTTTCCTAAGTACAAAGATTGTAAATGATAACTTTTTTTCCCAGTTGATGCAAAAATGTTCTGGACGCAGTTAGAAGGCAGCAAAGTAGACTTAATATTCGAGCAAATACAGAAAGTACTTCTGTCTTTGAAAAAGAAGATCAAGGATGGAACTGCAACAAATGAAGGTTTGGAAAACTTTAAAACCTGAATAAAACTTACTGAGTATAGATCCTAATATATATACAGAAATTGTGAAACAAACCCCTGAAGTCCAACTTTTCATGTAAAATAAATAACGAAAGCTATAATGTATTATGCTAGTGTGTAAAACTTTCAATATTTATTCTGTGTGTTATAATTGGAAAAGAACTGGTTGCAAGTATGTAGAGAATGTGACTGGTAATGCACAATTATTTCTATCAGCTAGCAGAATATATTAGCAGAATGCTTTTTTCCTTTCATGGAAATTTGACTTCCCTCAAATGAAAAAGGAGGGCTTACATAGGTATACACTTTTTTTTCCAACTGAGGGCTGCATTCCCTCTGCGGTAATTTGCATGTTGGCATTGGGTAGAATCGTAGCTAATGGTGGGATGAACAAGTGACCAGGAACACCCCTTCCCAAAATTGTAGGGCACAAGTTGCCCAGTTCTGCTTTATAGGTTAAAGCTAGCACTGTGAATTGAACTTGAAAATGTCTAGAATGCAAGCAAGCAAAGTTGGTGTAATTTGCTAGACTTTTTGGTCCTTATTATTAATCTAGCTGCCATATTTTGCACAAACTGTGGTTTCTAAAAATTAAAAAAAGAACATTATACTCTGGTGAGTTCTTTTAAGAGCGAGAAATCTTAACTAGAGGCAGTGCTTTTTTATGTATAACTTTACACTTTTCTGCCATAAGTGGCCTTTCTGAGTTCTAACCTCCACCACCCATCCCCCACTATTATGAACTCTGGATGCATACCAATATTACAGTTAGACAAATTAAGTACTTTTTAAAGCAATTTAATTGTAAATTAAATTTAATTAAATAAAGAACTACCCTCCCAATTCTGCTTGAGAGGCTAAATGACTGAGCAAGAAAGAAATGGCAATGGAACACATTGCCCACCATTAATGCTTATACTGAAGAGAACCAGTAATCTATTCAGTCATTGGTAGATTGATACTTCCTACCTTGCTTAGTCAAGATATGTCCAGAAAATGAACCCTCTGGTGAAGGAGATTACTGAATTCTAGAACTAGTCCTTTCCTTAAGAAAAGGCTACTTTACACTTGGGAGATGAAATACTGTGTGAACATTAATGGTTTTTTCTTGGCTTTCTGGAAAACATAGAACTGAAAAATTCCTTTAAAAATTCCAATGATCTAAAATGCATACAGCTGCATGTCTAATCATAGATCATATTTCAGTTTTTTACTTGGTAAAAGTTTCAGCTATAGCTCAGAAAAGCTAAGAAATGCCACCATTGTGGGGGGCTAGTGCTCTGTTTATTAATATATTTTAATGTTTAAATACTTCATTTTAAATTCAACTTCTAAGGTTTTTGTTTCTGTCATTTTAAACAGAATACTGCCAAGCTTTGGCACTTGTGGATCAGGTGGATGTGACTGACTTCTTACCTCTGAAAAATGGTATGAAAGAGTTTCTATGCTCCTTATTGTGTGTTAGCTTCTTGCTCACCTAGATAAAAACATGGTATATTTGGTAGTATTACTTTTCTTCACAGATGGGTACTTCCCTGACTTTTCTGAAGGAAGGAGTACTATAGAGTCTGATTAAGACACAGCGTTGTACATTCTGGGAATGCAATTTATAGTCATCCCATCCTTTGGTCTCTGTGTTGAACTTCCCATCTGAAAGCAGGCCTGGTTTATACAGTTGTTACTTTTTATTTTAAAGAACATCAGGCTTGCACATGCTGAGCTCTAAAATCATAATCCCATATTCATAGACTCATATTTGGTAATATATCCACAGAATCGTATAATAATGCCTAAACTTACAGAAGTCAAATGGGTACATGTGTTTCTGATCTAGCATCAACACAGCCTCAGCACAATTATAGCTGTATTTTACTTGTTCTAGAACAGGGTTTGGGAGCTGCTGGCTTGCATATTACATGCACCTTGAGCTGCAGCCCCCAGCATCCAGAGTTGCCTTTGCTGCCAATGGTGGAAGAAGGAACCTGCATGTTCACTTAAAAGAAGGTGTGCTCTATCTGGTTGTCTTGTTTGAAAATAAAAAGAGGCTACTTCCAAATTGCCATGGAATTCAGCAGCAGCAATTTCAGTAGAGGGAGGTGGTCTACTTGTAACTTCTGGTGTGGCAGATTGGCCTCCAGACTCTCTGAGGTTTCCCACCGTGGTCTATAATGTAAGCCTGACATGACAACCATCTGCATTCCTTACCTTCTCACCAGAAAGTGTGGCTCTTTCTAATGAAATAAAATTACTCTTTTTTAAAAAGAAATAAGTTTTTTTATTATTTTCTACAAACTAAAAAAAAAACTAAAAACATCAATCATTAAAAACATCAGACATACTGGGTCAGCCCCCCATTTTTTTTTATAACAAACCATAGCTATATTCAAATCTAGGCATGTTCCCATTTCTCTAGCCAATAGTAAAAAGAGTTCCAAGTTTGATAGAAATATGTATCCTCTTTCTCCTTCAGAGACAAAGTCAGCCTGTCCATTTCAGCGCAATCCAAGATCTTTTTTAAAATCAGTTCATCAGTAGGTGGTTCTTCACTCCTCCAATGTTGGGCAAATACAATCCTTGCCACAGTAATTATGTGTAGAATCAAATACATTGCTTGTTTGTCGACATCATCAGACACAATGCCTAATAAAAAAAACTTCAGGTTTAAATATTAAAGATTTTTGTAACATTTCCTCAAGCCATTTATGTATTTACATTTATGTATTTTAGCTCAGTATTTTTTTGCCTTATCACAAGTCCACCACATATGATAAAAAGTACCAGGTTTATGTTTACATTTCCAACATCCATTTGACATATTTGGAAACATTTTTGCTAATCTATTTGGCGATAAATACCATCCATAAAACATTTTATAAAGATTTTCTTTATATGAGGTTGCTAAGGTTACCTTAATATTTCTTTCCCACAACTTTGCCATTTCTGTAACTCAATATTATAGCCAAAATTTTGTGCCCATGTTATTATAGCTTCCTTAACTTGTTCATCTTCCATTCTCGTATCCAAAAGAAAATTATAGTCTTTTAATCATTTTTTCATCTGATTTTAAAATCATTTGATCAAATGTTGTTAATTCCTTATAAAAACCACACATTTTATAGTCTTTAACATATCTCGATTGTATTTGAACCTTATGCCACCAAGAAATATCAATACCCTGCTCTTGCAATTCTTGATTCGGTTCAATTTTCCATCATTATCCAAAATATCATCATATCTCACAATCATCAAAATTCACCCTATATACACTCATTAAACTAGTTGTTAAAATCTAGCCTTATTCAGTTGTTCTTTTCATGTCACTTCTATTAGCAAGGAGTTGGGAAGGGGAATGAGCTTGCTAGTTCTCCTTACCCACCCATCTCTTGCCACTCTTGTTTGCTATTTGTTTGCCTAGCTTCCTGTGTACATTAAGGCTGCCTCCATGATTTTTAGAATTCGAGACAGTCACTTTCCACATTTCAAGGCTACAAGAACAGGGAGGAATTGGGATGGCAGACCTCACACACACATTCCCAGTCATTCTTAACACGTTTAGTTCTCATATACAGTGGTACCTTGGCTCACAAACGCCTCAGTTCACAACCAAATTGGGTCACAAACAAAAATGTCATAAACATTTTGAATTTGGTTGTGAACTCTACATTGGGTGGCGACCACGATCACAACCATCTCCCCCCCCCCAAGTGGGGAGATGGCTGCGATCGTGCTGGGGGTGGAGGGGGGGAGATGGCTGAGATTGCGCCCGTCTTTCCTGCACGAGCATGCCTGTAATTGCGCCCGTCTTTCCTGCACGAGCGCAACCGCGATCTCGGCCATCTCCCCACCCCCAGCACAATTGCCTGTCTCCCCGCCCCCCCCACCAGCGTGCCAGGATGACGGGCGCATGCAGGGATGACAGGCGCGATCACGGTCATGCTGGGGTTGGGGGAGATGGCTGCACTCATGCTTCGGGGGGGGGGGGGAGATGGCCACGATCTTTGTTGTTCTTTGTCACTTTGCTTCACATTTTTCTGATTAAAAAATAGTCACAGAATGGATTAAGCTTATTTACATTGAACCTTATGGGGAAATTTAATTTGGCTCACAACCAATTTGGGTCATGACCAGAGTCCTGGAACGGATTAAGTTTGTGAGCCTAGGTACCACTGTACACGGAGAACAAATGAGTAAGTCCAAGTTCTCACAGCAGTTTGAATGAGCATGCATAGAATGTGTTCAGAGTATGGTGCTAATATCCCTATTGTGAGTTCCGAAGGCTGCATGTTCTTTATAGGTTCGGGGGCATGCAGAGGATGGCGGCATGTTCAAACACCATAATAGTTTATCTTCAGACTTTTCTTGTCAACCTGGAGAAGTTTGGAATGCAGGGTGCAGAATTCGCATGCATATCCCTTCTTCCCTCTCCAGGCTTAATTTTTTTAAATGCCTGAGAGCTGTTGTTTATGTACATTCATACCCAATTAGCATCCTTCTTAAACCAGGGTACAGGTTATGCATACAACTGAACGTGGGTGGAATGAATGCCCATTTACTTATATGTATTCATCACAAAGAAGGCTTCTGAAGACTATATTAAAAGGTAGCTCTGTTGACTGTGACTTTTAATTCTTCTTTGTGGACTGTGTGCATCTTACATATGGGCTGCAAAGCTTCATTTGGTAAACTTGCATAGCTGAAGAGTTTTGATGGGAACCACCCCTCATGGCACAAGTGCCCATGGCTGTAGGGGTTCCCACCTTTTCATTCACTTCTTTGACCAAATTTATGGCTGCCGTAGAGAAGCTTCAGGTTTTAGTCATCTTTGGTATTTTCTTTTTCTTTTTCCCCTGTTTTGCAATTGCTGACATTGACAACTGCAGGTTTCTGCAAGTTGTATGGTCTTGAAAGTGCCTTTTGCACTTGAATGTTGTGAAAGTAAGTGCCATCCAGCTAATGGCCACTTCCTGTGTAATCTGTCAGGGACCATCTGGTTGGAGGAAGAAACAAAAGAGAAGATACATGTAAGATGTTGAATCTTTCTTCTTTGCAACTGGCTTATAAATCCTCCAGTGTCATGCGTACCTCCCTTTGCCCATTGCCGCACAGAGTTTTGTGGCTCCCATTCAGGAATGTTGAAATTTCTACAGTTGAACATGCTTTTTGCTTTCTGTTTTCATTGTTCAGTAAGGGTTCAAAGTTGTCCTCCCTGCATGTTTACCTGGCTGTTTCATGCTACCATAACTAATAGTTGGTTGTTCAATTTTTGCCTGCCTGCCCTATCAATTGCTCCATGTAGTTAAAAATGTTGCTTCTTCATTACAGAGCTCAATGGAATTTTCTGTCATCCTGCATTCCTTAATAAGATTTTTTTATTATTTATTTATTTATTTATTTATTTATTTTGATGACTGAGCTCCATTTCCTTTCATGAAAGGTGTCCTTCTTGGTAGAAGTTACCTCTGCTTGGAGAGTTAAGTACATTTGTGTACGCTCTGTGTTGACCCACTTTCCGTAATATTCTATTAGGAGAAAGTGTTTTTTCTCCTGATGTGACCTTTCTAAGGTGGTTTCTGATTTCTACTTAAACCTACACATTGCCTCCTTGCTTTTTGTCCTACACCAGCATCAGATATTGAGAGGACTCTCCATACCATAGATGTAAGAGGGATACTAGGTTTCTACCACTCCAGCACTGCATCTATTCATCAATCACCATTACTATTTCTTTATTCTAGCACTTATAAAAAGGGACTCACTCTTTTGCTTCAAAGGCTAGTTTGTTTCATTGAGACAGTTCATCTGACCTATGAATTGACAGCTCTTCCATTTGTAAGCCATTTAAGAGCAAATTCTGCAAGTGGTGTTGCAGCTTTCTTTGCCTTTCATAGAACCATAGAATAGTACAGTTTGAAGGGGTCAGAGGGCCATTGGGTCCAACCCCCTGCTTAGTGCAGGACTCCAGGTTAAAGCAGACGACACTGACGGATGACTCTCCAGCTGCCTTCTCAGTGTGAGAGAATGCACAAGCTCCCTAAGTGATTGGTTCCATTGCTGTACTGTTGCAACAGGCAGGATTTTTTTCTTGATGTTCAGCTGGAACCTGGCTTTCTGTAACTTGAGCCTGTTATTCCATGTCCTGCATTCTGGCTTGATTGGGAAGAGATATTGGCCTTGCTCTTTAGGACAGCCTTTCAAGTACTTGTAGAGTGCTATCATATCTCCCCTCAGTCTTGTCTTCTTCAAGCAAATATGCCCGGTTCTTCCAATCTCTCATAAGCATGGGTCCTCAAACTAAGGCCTGCGGGCTGGATCTGGCCCGCCATGCCCATTTAACCAGCCCATCCCACAGGTTTTGCACTTGCCAGGCATGCGCATGCAGCTTGCTCACGAGGAGGTCGTTTTGGACTAGCTCAAAGAAAACGATCTCCTTGCGAGCAAGCTGGTGCCTCGCCCTGTGCACTCCCCCATCCCCGCCTCACATGTGCACGCACCCCGCCTCCTCACTGGTCCACGCACCCTGCTGGCACCTGTCAACTGGTCCATTTTAGAAAAAGTTTGAGGACCCCTGCTCATAGGGCTTTTTTCCAAACCCTCCATCATCCTTGTTGAACCCCCTCCAGCTTGTCTGCATCTATCTTGAAGCACAATACCCAGAACTGAATTCAGTACTCAAGATGGGGCCTAGCTAGAGCCAAATAGAGGGGAATTAGTACTTCCCATCCCTCAAAAGGGTGCTCCAGTAGAAGCTTGTCATGCCATAACTTTCTCCAAATCATCAACCTTCCTTTAGCACTACCAGCTGGATGTATAAACAAGGGCAGATTATCCATTTGGACAATTATATGATCAGTTCTAATGAGATGAAACCATGTTCTGGCAAATGAACCAGTGTCCTGTTTATCCATATATGTGATGCACAGAGACCATGAAGAAGGATAGATTGCTTACATGTAATTGTGGTT